GGGAACTGCGTCGACGTAAGTGCCGGTGGATCTCCAAGATGCCATCTCCTGCTCCATGGCAGCTATCCACTGAGAGGCCCAAGGTCCCGAGGTGGCCTCAGCGTAGGTGCGAGGGGTTGGGATGTCGAAGGCGTCTGGGTCACCCTCAGGGACTAACAGCATGGAGCAGAGATGGGGAGCAGCCTCGGAAAGGAAAGCCAGCTCGTACTGCCTGTCCTCTAGGACGTCACTGCCAAGGGCAGGAGCACCTCCGACGGACAGAGGACGGGCAGGGTCAGAGACCAGAGCGGTAGCGTAGTCAAGGCGGCGGGTAGAAGCGAAGTCAGCGACAGCAGCGACAAGCGCGTCAAGGCGCGAGACAGGAACAGCAGGGTCGGTAACAAGAGAGGCAAGGACCCGAGGGACAAGGGGACGAGCAGCACGGAGGTAGTCAGAGAACGGAGGAGGTGCAACAGCAAGGGACGAGGGAGGAGGGGACGGGAAGAGGGGAGGACGAGACGAGTGGGAACGGAGCAACATAGGGTGGGTGGGCAGGACAGGAGAGACGGGACGAGCACGGGAGGGACGGCGAGCCCAAACGTGAGACGGAGGGGTAGGGTCAGGGGACAGCGGAGGAGACACAGGAGGGGAACGAGGAGGAAGACGGGCCGGAGACGAGTCTGGCGGCGGGAACACAGGACCGTAGACAGGGAGGTCAGGAGGCGGTGGGGGAGACACCGGCGCGCGGTCCGGGGAGGGAAGGCCGAGCAGGCGGAGAGCGGAAACCGGCGGCGACGGCTGCTGTGGCGGCGACGACGGCTGGGCCGGAACTCTCGGACCAGCAGAGGCAGAACGACCGTCGGCAGAACACTCAACAGCAGCACCCCCAGAACCAACACCCCAAGAGCGAGAACCCCCTCCAACACCAGCGGCACCCCCAGAAGCCGCAGGACGAACACCCTCCTCCACACCAGCACCCCCAGGGGCCGAGAGCAGCGGCGGCAGTGGCGGCGACAGCGGCGACGGCTGCGGCGGCGACGGCGACGGCGGCGGCAGCGGGGTCGGCGACTGCGACAGTGGGGGCGGAGGCACTGGGGAAGGGGGACGCGGCAAGGACGGACCGGGGGTACCACCAGAGTCAGCAGACTCCTCAACGGGGACAACCGACGGGAGGGGAGTGACGTGGGAGACACCAGACGGGGCAGGACGAGGCGGGAGAGGGGCAGGGGCTACCGGGGGAGAGGGAGCAAGGAAAAGGGGGGGGCAACTGGGAGACCTCGGTGAGGGAAGCAGCGGTAGAAGGAGACGGACTCGTCAAAGGTGACGTCACGAGAGTGGAGGAAGCGGTGAGACGGCGGGTGGTAGAAAAGCCAGTCAGACGAGTCCAGGGGGAAACCGAGGAAGACACAGGGGACAGTGCGGGCAGTGAGCTTGTCCGTGCCAGAGGCACGAACGTGAGCAAGGCAGCCCCAGACGTGGAACGCAGACGCGTCACCGGGGGACCCGGTCCAAAGGAGGGTCGGCGAAACCTGCGGCCGCTGGGAGCGTGGCCACAGGTTAAGCTGGTGAGCCGCGTAGCGAACAGCGAACGGCCACAGAAAATGGGGGGCATCGGCATGGATCATGGAGGTACGGGCGACCTCCATGACCAAGCCGATGCGGCGCTCAGCAACCCCATTCTGCTGTGGCGAGTCCGGCAACGTGTACGACTGGGTGATGCCCTCCGCACGACAGAACTGTCCAAGCCAACCAGAGGCGAACTCGCCGCCACGGTCGGAGTGGAGACACAACACGGGGAGACCGCGGTGGAGACGCGCAGCTACAACCCACGGGAGAAGAACGTCGAGCACGTCGGCCTTCCGCTCCAGGGGAAACACCGTGGTGTAGTGCGTGTAGTCGTCAACGAGCACAAGGAAGTAGCGCTCACCGCGCGGTCCGGGGACGGGGGCAGGGCCCCAAACGTCCAAGTGCAGGGTCTGAAGGGGGGCAGTAGCAGGACGCAGCGAGGAGGAGTGAGGAGCACGGCGGAGCCGACCCTCGACGCAAGGCGTGCACGGTGGCGCAGTCGAGGGAGGAAGGGCAGGGAGCGACGCGGGGAGACCTAAGACAAGACCGTGCTGGGACATGTGACGCAGACGCGGGAGAGCAGGGTGACCTAAGCGGTGGTGCCAGAGAAGGGAGGGGTGAGTGAGGGACCGACACGAGCAAGCTGCAGCGACCTGGGAGGACGCACCAACCGGGGGGGAAGCGGTGTGTAGGGTAAACAGACCGGACACCGGGTCCCGGGGGAACGTCGCAAGGGGGGAACCTGAGACAGCCTCAGAACAGACAGCGAACCGCTCGTGCCCGGGGAACGTGGTGGTGACGCCGAGGTCCTGGAGACAGCCGACACCAACCAGGTTCCTGGAGAACGAGGGAACGTGGAGGCCAGTAAGGGAGCCCGAGGGAACTGCCGGACAGGGAAGGGACGTAGAACTGCGCGCGACGACCGGACCCGCAGAGGGGTCAGCGAGAGAGACAACAGCAGGTGCAGCAAGCGGCGTGAGCGTGGAACGGTCGCGGAAGAAGCAGGCAGAAGCACCAGAGTCGAGAGTGAAGGACAGCGACGCAGTGGCGGGGGCCGGGGACGGAGCCGGTGCAGCGACTAGACTAGGCAACCTAGGCAGTCCTACGCCTGTCGCAGCAGGGGAAGCTAAGCTACACAAGGGTGAAACACCTAAACTAGAGTACACAGGGTAGTAAGATCCATCAACACTAGAAGCGTCAGCATACAAAGCATGCAAAGCAGCACCTATCTGATCCATGTCTAACTCAAAGATCGGCACGCCCTGGCGGAGCAGGCTGTGCCAGTCAGGGAGGTCCGGGGCCGGGCCAAAGCGACGACGAAAAAGATCGTCGAGGCGGCGGAAACAGCGGGCGGTCGGGTGCGGGCGGCGGCACAGAGTGCCGCGGAGAGGCCCGGTCTGAAGCTGGTACTGGCAGGTCACAGCACTGGAGCCGCTGGTAGACGCCAAGCTGCGCGGGCCGCCACCACGGCCACCGCCTCCGGAGGTGCCGGGCCAACCAGGCGGGAGACGAGCCCACGGCTGCGGCGGGTGCTGCTGGGACGGCGGCTGCGGCTGGGGCTGGTCCTGCTGCTGCTGGGACTGCTGCTCCTGCCCACCGGTGGTAGTCCCCTCAGGCGGACTACCGTCACCACCACCACGACCACTACCACCTGCGTCACCACCCCTACCTCCCTGGCGGCCACGGCCACCGCGACGCGAGCGCTGCTGCGGGTGGACAGCAGCAGCCGTCTCGGTAAGAGGGGTCGCCGTGGCGACCGCAGCCGAAATGTCAGTGAACGTGCACGGGGATGGGGCACAGCCGTGAAAGATGGAGACTGGCGGCGCACCGCTCGACTGAGCGATAGTGGCACAGCAGCACAGCTCCTCAGCGGCACAGGAGCACAGCGGCGCGGGGACACGGCGGCAGCACTCTCCAGTAGGGCAGCAGCTAGGCGTCCCAGCGCAGGCAAGCAGAAGACACAGGGCCCGAGAGGACACGGCAGGCCGAGCAGGGGAGGCGGGCAGGTGCTCTAGGGCCGGGCTGGTGCTGGGAGGGGCCAGGCTGGTGCTGCTGGGGCCGGTCGGGCACGAGGAGGGGCCGGGCAGCGCTGAGGAGAGGCCGGGCGGCGCTAGGAAGGGGCCGGGCGGCACTAGGAGGAGGCCGGGCGGCACTAGGAGGAGGCCGGGCGGCACTAGGAGGAGGCCGAGCGGCACTAGGAGGAGGCCAGGCGGGCGAGCGCTAACAGCAGGCGCGACAGGGGCCAGCGGGTGCGACGGGGCCTAAGGGGCGCGACGGGGCCCAGCGGGCACGACGGGGCCCAGGGGGAGGCGCGACGGGGCCGAGGAGGCGCGACGGGGACCAGCGGGCACGACGGGGCCCAGGGGGGCCGCGACGGGGCCTAACGGGCGCGACGGGGCCCAGGGGGGGCGCGACGGGGCCTAGCAGGCGCGACGGGGCCTAGGAAGCGCGAAGGGGCCCAGCGGGCGCGACGGGGCCTGGGAGGGGCGCGACGGGGCCGAACGGGCGCGACGGGGCCCAGAGGGGGGGGACGCGACGGGGCTTAGGAGGCGCGACGATGCCTAGGAGGCACGACGGGGCTCAGCGGGCTCGACGGGGCCCATGGGGGGCGCGACGGGGCCTAGGAGGCGCAACGGGGCCCAGCGGGGGCGCGTTAGGGCCTAGGGGTCGCGACGGGACCCAGTGGGCGCGACGGGGCCCAGGGGGAGCGCGACGGGGCCTAGGAGGCGCGACGGGGCCCAGCGGGCACGACGGGGCCCAGGGGGGGCGCGACGGGGCCTAACGAGCGCGACGGGGCCCAGGGGGGGCGCGACGGGGCCTAGGGGGCGCGACGGGGCCTAGGAGGCGCGACGGGCGGAAGCGGTAGGCGGGGGGATCCTAACCTAAGCGTGATACCATGTTAGCGTAGAAACGAATGATTACTAGAGGTGGAAACCTAGAACAAATACTAGTTGGTTGTACTCACTAGAAGCATACCTCAGTCTAGCCTATAACTTCTACATAGATAATATGTATAAGTTGACACTGACAGCATCCTCCCTGACACTGCATGCTCACTGCCAATGTGGCATGCAGATCGGGAATATCGTCCAGTATGCAATGAGGTGACCAAAAGTGGGTATCTGACTCAAATGAATGTGGTGAAACAGGCACACTTGAATTCCAATTATAAAAACCATATGCACATTCCATAACTCCTGGGTGTTTTATTTTTTTGGCCTTTAATTACACCCAGCCCAAAATTTTGCTGCATTTTTATTAACACCATAGGGTGCTTTATACGGGGGATTACGGTATAGAAAGTAGGAAAGTAAAGCAGTTGTAGAATACAGTTGAAAGAGCGGTTTATCGAGTCGCACAGCGACTCGATTGTCGCTTCGGTTACCATCCTTGCAGTTGTAATAGTCGTCGCAACCTCCGGTTGCGACTCTTCGAGTCCTTTCGTGTTCTTTGTCCATCCCCTCATGTAACCTCCGCTGACTCGCATACCCGTTACGATCTTCCTCGAGTGTGGTGTTTGCACTTCAGAAACGCTGAAGTCCTCGGGATATTTCCAACAAGTGTTAGGTGTCCTATGGATCCTACTGTAGAGGGTACAACACCCTTCTTGTATCCCTCTCTTCTGGTCCAATTCTCTTTTCTCTCCTCACTTTTCTCCCTAGCTAAAACCTCTCGCCATTCCCATGCCTAGCTAGCTTCTCAGCTCTTTCAACAATACCACCACTAGTCGCCACCACCAGGCTGGGGGCAGACACTAGAAGCAGTGCAGCACGGATGCAGCCTACATCCGTTTCCCCGGCACGTGAATGTGAGGGGTAGAGTCGAGGGTAGGCTGGGGGGTTATGTAGAGGTTGGATGCACGAGGTGCCAAGCGGTAGCTCTTGTGCTGTGAGATGCAGAGTAGGTAAGCCAGTAAGAGAGGGGGGTAGTCCAGAATAATTCTAGTCATCGTCGTCGTCATCGTCGGGCTCGAAGTCTGGACGCAGAGAGCATAAGAATAGAAGATGAGTGGAAGATTATGATTGGCATTGGTGATAACTATAGTCGACTAAAAAATCAGAAGATGCACAGAGGATGATGATTGGTGCCTTGGAAGAAGAAATCTAGTTGCAGAAAAAAAGAAGCATGAAATATGCAAGGAAGTTGCTTGCAGGATCCAGGAGGGTTCATGCTCTGGATACAGCAGGACTGCATGCACGCACAACTGCATGCACGCACAACTGCATGCACGCACAACTGCATGCACGCACAACTGCATGCAAGCACAACTGCATGCACACACAACTGCATGCACACACAACTGCATGCACGCACAACTGCATGCACGCACAACTGCATGCACGCACAACTGCATGCACGCACAACTGCATGCACGCACAACTGCATGCACGCACAACTGCATGCGCACACAACTGCATGCACGCACAACTGCATGCACGCACAACTGCATGCACGCACAACTGCATGCACGCACAACTGCATGCACGCACAACTGCATGCGCACACAACTGCATGCGCACACAACTGCATGCACGCACAACTGCATGCACGCACAACTGCATGCACGCACAACTGCATACATGCACAATTGCATGCACACACGATTGAAATACGAGACGACAGAAACATCATACGCGATAATGAGTCGGGTGTAATGCGAGGAAGGATAAATTACAGCACCCTCTCGTGCCCCGGTTCCCACCTTCTGAATCATTTTCCTCCTCATCCTCCTCTTCCTCCTCGTCCTCATCATGCTCCTCATCCTCATCCTCATCCTCATCCTCCTCTTTCCCGCCCTCACTCTCTCCATCGCCCTTTTTCGGCTTAGAAGAGGGCCGGGGCGGTGGTGGGGGGGGAGCGAAGGAGGCGGGGCGGGAGGAGCGGCGGCCGCGGGGCTCATCCACTATGTTGCTCACATCGATCCCCTCCAGCTCTCTCGCCTTGTCCTTACGCCGCCTGAACGCCTTGATCTCTGCATGTGCCAGGGGGACAAGGGATGTGTGCTTGAGGGAGTGATACACGTTGAGCCACATGCATGCATGCATGCAAACACACAACCATGTGCACACTCCCACCCCCCCCACGTGCACGCAACCACGTTTCTCTGAAACGGTTGGATGGCAGCCCTTCTCTACACATGGCAACCCGAGCTCCCTCCATGGCACTGGCTCATGCTTGCTGCAACCCTAGCTTCCTGCATGCTTGTTTGCACGCCCGGGTCCCGCCCCAGCACCTGCTCCCACCTTTGTCGCCTATGTCTGAGGGGAAGTGGAGGGGGGGGGAGGGTGGAAAGCCCTTTTCTCCCCAGCAGCCTTCCCACTCTTCCCTCCCTTCTCAGCCTCTTTCTCAGCGTTTGCTGGAGAGCCCTTCGCTATCCAGCAGCGACTCCAATCCAGCTGCAATAGGCCCCGGGGGGGGGGAGGGAAGAAAGAGGGGGGGGAGAGCAGCCTCGTGCTGCCCCTCATGCTTGCTTGCACGCCCAGGCCGCGCTCTCCACCTGCCTACACTCGAAACTTTCTGAGGGGTTGCAGGAGATCCCTTCTCTGTCCAGCAGTGACTCGACTCAAGCTCCGTCACCAGCACAGCCTCGTGATGCCCTGAAGGCATGCTGGCATGCTTGCATGCTTGCATACCCTTGCATGCTTGCATACCCTTGCATGCTTGCATACTTGCATAATTGCATACTTGCATAATTGCATACTTGCATAATTGCATACTTGCATAATTGCATACTTGCATAATTGCATACTTGCATAATTGCATACTTGCATAATTGCATACTTGCACGGCCAGGTTACGCCCCATAGCACGCCCCTCTCGTGGACCTTTCTCTGAGGGGTTGCAGGAGAGCCCTTCTCGGTCCAGCAGCGACTCCAGCTCCCTCACCAGCGCTGCCTCGTGCTGCCCCGCGCTCGCTGCCTCGCCTGCTGTCTGCCGTGCCTTCGTGTACACGTTGGGAGGCACCCTGGGAGGACAAGAGAGTGAGGGGGAAAAGGGGAGAGGGAGGGCTTTTGAGGCGCCTAGAAATCGCTGCCTCGCCTGCTGCCTGCCGAGTCCTCTCATGCTCACTGGGAGGCACCCTGGGACGAGCAGCAACTGAGGGGAACAGGGAAAGTGGTCAGGAGAAGGGGAGGGGGGAAGGGAGGCACAGTTGGTTGCTGCCTGCCGTTCCCCTTGGAACGCACTCTGGAAAGGGTGGGTAGTGAAGGGGAGAGGGGTAAGAGGAAATCGATACTAAGTGGTTGTATGTGTGACTATCCTGTAGGCCAATGCAAACCGTGACACGGGCAGAGAATGAGGAGTGAACGGAGAAGGAAGGGGAAGCAACGCCAGAAAGCGTCGCCGATTTTCCGCAAAGGAGAATGAATGGTAGAGTGTTGGGCTTACATGGACATTATGGTTGGAGCGTCAAGGCAAGTCAAGTTAAAGCCAGGGTCTCAAGTACCGAGATCTGGCAGCAACTGCAAAACTGTTGCTGCGTGGTTACTTCATCTTCAAAACTCCAACCAAGCTTTGCACTCCAACTGCAAAACGGTTTTACTTGAGACCCTGGCTTTAAGGAATCATGGACCATTTAGAGCCGCCACGCCGTGCAATCGAATGCCAAACAGAAAGAGATGAAAATACATGACGTATGGTAACTAACACACCATGAAAGAACTCAACTCTGGAGAGAAAAGAATCAACTAGAAAGGGAGCCAAGAGGCTCTATAGTACAACCAAGGAGCTTGGAAAGGTTGGAAGGGAAGGCATTCCTATTGGCTACAATAGTGGCCAATGGGAGAGGTAGCTTGGAGGGGAAGCAACCCCAAAGTGTGGTGGTTGCTGATTGGTGGAGCCTTGTGACCATTCGGTTGGAAACTGCCAACCAAAGGACCAAGGCCAAATCCAATCTTGACCAACCAAATTGTGGTTGGTGAACCCAACCAACAACCCCCCAATAACTTAAATGTCTACACCTCCTATTCTAGTCATGCATGTTGTATATAATAATATATTACAACACACCACCCCCACAATAGAGACTTCCCAGGCTTCTGCTCTCCTGCAGCGAAAAGCAGCTGCGTCTACATCTTGCTTCCTCCTCATATACCCCAGCTTTTTGCCATTGATTGCTGCTAGCTGCTGCTTGCTGCTGTTTGTTGATGCTGCTGCTGGCTACTGCCGCTTACCACTGCTGTTCCTGGCGCCTCACCTGAGCCCACATGCTTGGAAGGAACACCTTCTTGAGTCGCTCCACTGCTGCACTGCGCAGTGCTGCGGCTGATGGCTGCACGCCCAAGGAATAATCATAATTCTAAAAAAAATCTCAGGGGTTTTTTCAAAGAAATTTGAAGGATTCTTTGAAAATCTCACCTGAGGCCACATGCTTGGAAGACCTTCTTGAGTCGCTCCACTGCGGCACTGCGCGGTGCTGCCGCTGGTGGCTGAGAGAGGGAATTCCAAGCGAAGGGTACAGAGGGATTGAGTGGGGGAATGGGTGGGGGAATGGGTGGGGTAATGAGTGGGGGAATGAGTGGGGGAATGGAGGAGACGGGGAAACGAGATGCAAACAGACGTGAAACTCATGCCTGTGCTACCATTCACACACTTTATACAAGACTTGTCAAAACACACGCATCCACACGCATCCACACACATCCACACGCATCCACACACATTTTGTTGGAATCTATCCAGTCTAAGAGTCACACCTTATTGTCTTTCCCTACAATCCTCACCTCCTTTCTCGACTTGCTACTGCTACTGCTTCTCCCGCTAGACTTGCGCCTTTCCCTCTCGTCCACTCCACTGCTACCCTCCTTTTCCTCCTCCTCCTCTTCATCATCATCCCCCCCACGCCTGCTCTTTCCCACTGCACGCTTCTCCTTCCTCTTCTTCCCCTTCTTCTTCCTCCTCTCCTCCTCCTCACTGTCTTCATACTCCACCTCTTCTGACAAACCACCCTCCTCCTCCTCCTCCTCCTGCTCCTCCTCCTCCTCCTCCTCCTGCTCCTCCTCCTCTCGGCTGCCCCCACGCCCTCTCGCTCGTTTCTTCTTCCCTTTCCTCGGCTTCTCCTCTTCTACCTCCTCCTCCTCTTCCCCCTCCTCCTCTTCTTCCTCCTTCTCCTCCTCCTCCCCGTCCCTCCCCCCCGCCATCTCCTCGTCCCCCACTCTCGCACCGTTCTCACCTTCCTCCTCACTCCCCTCCTTCCCTTCCTCCTCCCCATCCCCCTCATTCCCGTCTGCATCCCGTCCCTCGTCTCCCTCCACCTCCTTCTTCTCCTTCGCCTTGCGCCCTTTATCCATTGCTTTATCTCTCCGCTCATCCTTCTCAGCAGCTTTCTTGCCCGTCTTTGCCGTCTTAGCCCCACCGCCCACCTCCCTATCGCCTTTGCCCCCCGTCTCGCCGCTCTCGTTCCCTGCCTCGCCGTCAACCTCCTGGCTAGAGAACAGCTGCGGGAAGCAGGACGCAACCGGGGAACAAAATCAACAAATCAAGTCATCAACAGATGAATCAATAAACTTACCAGCAAACTAACCAAAATTAGTAATCAAACGATAAAATTCTAGCGAACGAAGCGATTCACAGCGACACGTCTTACTCTTGCGTTTGCCTCAACACACAGAGCATAGCAAGGAAGGTAAACAGGCCGACAGGAGAGTCTTGACAAGTCTTAAATACAACGAGGATTGAAAAAGAAGCAGCGCAGCAGAGAAGCACCGGCATCCAGATACCGCTGCCTGCAAGCCTATTGTACAGCACCCACTCTCCACTCTCTCACCCATCTCAACTCTCACCCCTCTCACCCCTCTCTGCTCTCACCTCTCTCGCCTCTCACCTCTCAGCACGCACCCAGTCAACTCCCAGCCGTTGCCTGCAAGCCTAATGTTCAGTATGCACTCTCCACATCCGCAATCCTCTCTCACCGCTCTCAGCTCTCAGCTCTCGGCTCTCAGCTCTCAGCGCTCAGCGCTCAGTTCTCAGCTCTCAGCTCTCAGCTCTCAGCGCTCAGCTCTCAGCTCTCAGCGCTCAGCGCGTACCCCGTCCACGAGGCGGCGCACGAGGTCCTTGTGCGCGTTCAGCGCGCCCGCCGCCAGCCCCATGTCGCCCTCCAGCGCCAACCGCACCGACTTGAGCGTCATCGTGCTGCCGACGGGGCGGGGGAGAGTGCGCGGGGAGGAGGGGGGGCGGGGGAGGGGGGGGGGGAAGTAGGGGGAAAATGGGGGGGAAGGGAGAGCAGCGGGGAAGGAGAGAGAAGATGCATGCAAGCACACAGTTTTAGGTCGACTCAAGAATTAGCGCGCCCATCACCAGCCCCATGTCCTTTTCCAGCGCCGACTTTAGTGTCCTGGTGCTGCCCGGGGGGCGAGGCGAGGAGGAAAGGGGGGAAGGGGGCGAGGAGGGAGAGGGGTGGTTAGGGAGAGAGAAGATGCACGCGGACATTCCTAAGCTGGAGTCGTAGATGGATTACAGGTGGGCTGCGGAGGCCTTATTTCCATCAAGTCTGTAGGAGAGAGAAGATGCACGCGGACATTCCTAAGCTCGATCCGAGAACCGGCAGAAAGAAAAATATGCACACGAGGCGGAATTAAGTCGCGGAGGCATACGTACGCGAATCGGCAGCAGCAGTGTCAGCGCGCGGCCTTGAACCTCGTGCCGTTGCCGGCCGACCCTAATCCAACCCTTGAAGATTAGGACTCTAACCTACGTGTCCACTTGTCTCGCGCCCGTCTATCCCGGATGCTTCCACCTGTCTCGCGCCCGTGTCCTACAAACCTCGATTACTCCGATCCTCGAGCTCGCAAACGCCAGAATTGCATAAGAACAACGGTGGTTCCCACCAGACGATGTTTCGAGTAAGGGTCCAGGCAACAACTACTCTTGCTGTGTGATAAACGGGTTGCTTTCACACGCCGAAAACTGCAAGCTATCGGCCCTAGGTGTGTCCGCGGCGAGAAAAGCAGAAGCCGCAAGCTGCAAGCTGCAAGCTATCGGCGAGAACTCACTCGGCCTGCTGCTTGAATCCATCTGCGCGCCGATCGAAGGCCGCTTTAATCTCCTCCTCCTGCACCGGGCCCATGCTTGCTCGCGCTCCGATGACAGACGAACGAGCCGACTCGCGTTTCTGCTTCAGCGGACGCGCGGGGAGGGTTAACTGTCAACTACGTCCCGTTTTATGAAACTTCTTGCTTGGACGTGCAATCAGGATAACGTATGTAATCAACAGGAGACGAAAGGCACGTGTAACGAAGTGCGTTCCCGAATTGTAGCGTACTTCATTGAGATCGAGGCATCGTATCGCATCACATGCCGCTCCCCTGCCCTTACGGCGCTGGACAACAGAGCTAAGGCTAGAGGACGGACTGCAAGAGGAGAAATTGGAAGTGAACACGATGGGGAGAGTGAGCCTTGGCGCGAGGTTTCGCGCACGGCAAGGCGAGAGAGATTGGGTGAGAACAAATTTCTTGGGGTTTGTACGCGGTTTGCGTTGTTCGTGCTCCCAATTTCTTCGATTCAAATTTGACTCACGATTTTCATGTCTCGATACTGTACGCGTTTTGTACAGACTCCGAAATGTGTGTGGTGGGCAGGAGGGGGGGTTTGTTGGGACTCCGATTTAGGAGGAAACGGGGAGCATGGTTGAATGCCGCGCCACAGAAACGTAAAAAGCTTGCAATGCAGAACCATGCTGCAATACTGTCACATTACCTAAAAATCAACTTACAAAGGTAGATGCAGTTCGTAGACATCTGCATCAACTTACATAAAAATCAATAGTAAGCATACATACATATGGAAGACAATTTGCATCTAGATCGGTACAGGAACCACTATAAAGAAATTATAAATGATGTTATCATAAAATCAATTGATATTTAACCACTTTTATAGGAATTTGGCAAAAAAAAAACTTTTGTTCTCGATTTATCTTCTTCTTCGTTTCGCTCGTCGCATATTTCATCGACCCATCTCACGTCAGCACGACCGAGTCGCTCGCAAAATAAACGCGCGCACAACCACAGTTGTGTTATAATAAAATCGTACTTAAGCATTTCTGTAAGTAGTTCCGAAAGATATTATCTAGTTACACTGTAGTTAGCATCCGTAGAATGACGTCAGCAAATAGCGCTCGTCTGGATGGTTACGTCAGTATGCCGTTTCAGACACGCGACCAATGTTAAGACTAGAAAGAATGAATAGAAGAAGGGAGATATAGCGTTTGGGTTGTACCCACTAAGAACATACCATATCTAGTCTATAACTTCTATATAACAATATATGTATAAGTTGACACACCCCCTAGGCTAGATAAGGGGTAGTGCTGAGCAAGAAACACGCAGCTCAGGGTGGCACTGTTAGAATTATATACGTTATAATTTAATATAGGCTTGGTAGGTTGTTACTGAACCTTTCTGTAGTGGGTACAAACCCCTCCTTGTACTCCTCTCTCTTCCTAACCAGATCCTCTCTTTTCTCTCGACATTTTCTCCTTCCCTCCTAGCTAAACTCCGCCGCCACATTCATGGCGGCCTTGTTCCTGCCTACTGCCTAGTATGGGGATGTGTGATATGTGCGGGGGTGAGGTTCATACGCGAGATTGACGAACGCATGGAGAGGCCCCTATATGAGGGCATTTTGCTTGGCGAACTCGAATTGACACTCCATTTCTAAAGCATTTTCCCATCTGAGGTCATCTCGGTGCGGACAATGACCCCAATAATTTGTTATGCCTAGTGCATGAATGACTTGGAGAACATGACTATGTTGCCCTGGAGTGGCCTTCTTTCTCACCAAACCTCAACCTCTGGGCTTACCTGAAAAGGGAGCTAGCCAAGCATAAAAGGCCTTCCTCTGGAATGTTAGAGGTTTAAGAGTTGGTCCAGGAAGAATGGGAGAAGATCCATGCCGAGGTTTGCTCTAGCCTGATCGACAACTCGCCTAGGAGGGTGCGGGCGGTGATCAATACCAAAGGTCGGTGGGCTAGGAACTAGAAACACGCTGTTGAAGTTTGTTCTCTCTGTCAACTTATACATATTATCTATGTAGAAGTTATAGGCTAGACTGAGGTATGCTTCTAGTGAGTACAACCAACTAGTATTTGTTCTAGGTTTCCACCTCTAGTAATCATTCGTTTCTACGTTAACATGGTATCACGCTTAGGTTAGGATCCCCCCGCCTACCGCTTCCGCCCGTCGCGCCTCCTAGGCCCCGTCGCGCCCCCTAGGCCCCGTCGCGCCCCCCCTGGGCCCCGTCGCGCCCCCCCTGGGCACCGTCGTGCCCGCTGGGCCCCGTCGCGCCTCCTAGGCCCCGTCGCGCTCCCCCTAGGCCCCGTCGCGCCCGCTGGGTCCCGTCGCGACCCCTAGGCCCTAACGCGCCCCCGCTGGGCCCCGTTGCGCCTCCTAGGCCCCGTCGCGCCCACCATGGGCCCCGTCGAGCCCGCTGAGCCCCGTCGTGCCTCCTAGGCATCGTCGCGCCTCCTAAGCCCCGTCGCGTCCCCCCCCCCTCTGGGCCCCGTCGCGCCCGTTCGGCCCCGTCGCGCCCCTCCTAGGCCCCGTTGCGCCCGCTGGGCCCCTTCGCGCTTCCTAGGCCCCGTCGCGCCTGCTAGGCCCCGTCGCGCCCCCCCTGGGCCCCGTCGCGCCCGTTAGGCCCCGTCGCGGCCCCCCTGGGCCCCGTCGTGCCCGCTGGTCCCCGTCGCGCCTCCTCGGCCCCGTCGCGCCCCCCCTGGGCCCCGTCGTGCCCGCTGGGCCCCGTCGCGCCCCTTAGGCCCCGTCGCGCCCGCTGGCCCCTGTCGCGCCTGCTGTTAGCGCTCGCCCGCCTGGCCTCCTCCTAGTGCCGCTCGGCCTCCTCCTAGTGCCGCCCGGCCTCCTTAGTGCCGCCCGGCCCCTTCCTAGCGCCGCCCGGCCTCTCCTCAGCGCTGCCCGGCCCCTCCTCGTGCCCGACCGGCCCCAGCAGCACCAGCCTGGCCCCTCCCAGCACCAGCCCGGCCCCAGAGCACCTGCCCGCCTCCCCTGCTCGGCCTGCCGTGTCCTCTCGGGCCCTGTGTCTTCTGCTTGCCTGCGCTGGGACGCCTAGCTGCTGCCCTACTGGAGAGTGCTGCCGCCGTGTCCCCGCGCCGCTGTGCTCCTCTGCCGCTGAGGAGCTGTGCTGCTGTGCCGCTGTGTCGCTGAGGAGCTGTGCCGCTGACCCTGCACGATGGCTGACTTTGTGCTCCGCCTGGACGCTGAGGGCCACGCGGTTGACTTCGCCGCCTGGCTCTCCGATCTTCGCCGCCAGCTTACAGGTCAGCGCCAGGATGGCCACTCTCTGGTTGTCCATGCTGATGGCTTGCTCCCCCGTCCCCCTGCACCTACTCCCCTCCCTGCTGACCCCTCCTCTGATGACCGTGAGGCTTTCTCTACTGCTGCGCTGGCCTGTGCGATCTGGGACTCACGCGATGCAGTAGCTCAGGTTGCTATTAGTCACGCCCTCCCTGTGTCTGAGCGCTCGCGTTTTGCTACTGTTGAAACGGCCAAAGCTTATTTAGACGCCGTTATTGCTCGCTATTCCACCCCTGCCTCCGCTTCTGCTGGCCGCTTGCTCTTTCCGATGCTGTTCCCAGACCTGGCTGCCTTCCCTACTGTCGCAGATTTTGCCACTCATTTGCGTGCCCTAGAGACTCGCTATCGCACTGCCAGCACTGCTGCCCAGCTCACTGCGCTCCCCCCTCCTTTCTGCATGACGCTCTATTTTATCGCTATGCGCCTGCCAGACCGCCTCGCTAGTGCTCGCGACCACTTTCTTAGCCAGCACCCGGGTGACCTCACCCTGACCGCCTTTGTCGACACCCTCACTGAGATCGAGACTCGCCAGCGCACTATCGCTCAGTCGAGCGGTGCGCCGCCAGTCTCTATCTTTCACGGCTGTGCCCCATCCCCGTGCACGTTCACTGACGTTTCGGCTGCGGTCGCCACGGCGACCCCTCTTACCGAGACGGCTGCTGCTGTCCACCCGCAGCAGCGCTCGCGTCGCGGTGGCCGTGGCCGCCAGGGAGGTAGGGGTGGTGACGCAGGTGGTAGTGGTCGTGGTGGTGGTGACGGTAGTCCGCCTGAGGGGACTACCACCGGTGGGCAGGAGCAGCAGTCCCAGCAGCAGCAGGACCAGCCCCAGCCGCAGCCGCCGTCCCAGCAGCACCCGCCGCAGCCGTGGGCTCGTCTCCCGCCTGGTTGGCCCGGCACCTCCGGAGGCGGTGGCCGTGGTGGCGGCCCGCGCAGCTTGGCGTCTACCAGCGGCTCCAGTGCTGTGACCTGCCAGTACCAGCTTCAGACCGGGCCTCTCCGCGGCACTCTGTGCCGCCGCCCGCACCCGACCGCCCGCTGTTTCCGCCGCCTCGACGATCTTTTTCGTCGTCGCTTTGGCCCGGCCCCGGACCTCCCTGACTGGCACAGCCTGCTCCGCCAGGGCGTGCCGATCTTTGAGTTAGACATGGATCAGATAGGTGCTGCTTTGCATGCTTTGTATGCTGACGCTTCTAGTGTTGATGGATCTTACTACCCTGTGTACTCTAGTTTAGGTGTTTCACCCTTGTGTAGCTTAGCTTCCCCTGCTGCGACAGGCGTAGGACTGCCTAGGTTGCCTAGTCTAGTCGCTGCACCGGCTCCGTCCCCGGCCCCCGCCACTGCGTCGCTGTCCTTCACTCTCGACTCTGGTGCTTCTGCCTGCTTCTTCCGCGACCGTTCCACGCTCACGCCGCTTGCTGCACCTGCTGTTGTCTCTCTCGCTGACCCCTCTGCGGGTCCGGTCGTCGCGCGCAGTTCTACGTCCCTTCCCTGTCCGGCAGTTCCCTCGGGCTCCCTTACTGGCCTCCACGTTCCCTCGTTCTCCAGGAACCTGGTTGGTGTCGGCTGTCTCCAGGACCTCGGCGTCACCACCACGTTCCCCGGGCACGAGCGGTTCGCTGTCTGTTCTGAGGCTGTCTCAGGTTCCCCCCTTGCGACGTTCCCCCGGGACCCGGTGTCCGGTCTGTTTACCCTACACACCGCTTCCCCCCCGGTTGGTGCGTCCTCCCAGGTCGCTGCAGCTTGCTCGTGTCGGTCCCTCACTCACCCCTCCCTTCTCTGGCACCACCGCTTAGGTCACCCTGCTCTCCCGCGTCTGCGTCACATGTCCCAGCACGGTCTTGTCTTAGGTCTCCCCGCGTCGCTCCCTGCCCTTCCTCCCTCGACTGCGCCACCGTGCACGCCTTGCGTCGAGGGTCGGCTCCGCCGTGCTCCTCACTCCTCCTCGCTGCGTCCTGCTACTGCCCCCCTTCAGACCCTGCACTTGGACGTTTGGGGCCCTGCCCCCGTCCCCGGACCGCGCGGTGAGCGCTACTTCCTTGTGCTTGTCGACGACTACACGCGCTACACCACGGTGTTTCCCCTGGAGCGGAAGGCCGACGTGCCCGACGT